ATGAAAATGGGATGAATGCTAGCAGAAAATTGGGGGGTTTTATTTTCGCGCTCCGACGCATAGGAAACGAGATAATTGCAATTTTATAAATTTGAAAAAAAAATGCACCTATACCCTTCCATATATATATTGGATCGACGCGTTTCGCGGAGATACAGTTCCTCTTCAAGGCACCTAGAATTCATTATTTTCGCGCTAGGACCCATAGGAAGCGAGATAATCGCATCTTTATAAATTGAAAAAAATTGCACCTTACCCTTCCCTATATATCCCAAGCACCCCCCCTCACCGCACTGTTCAGCTATTAATCTCCCATTCCACCTTAGAAGCATCTGGAATATCTCCATGCACTTTTCGAATTAAAAAAAAAGAATGAAAAAATTTTTTGGCGCCCTCCAAAGCCCCACTGTCCGATGTTGCCCTGATTTCCAGCGATTATATATTATATTATTATAATTATTATATATTATTATATTTCAATTTACGCAAGAAAACTACCAAAAATCAAATTATTATATTTCAAATTATAGATATTTTTATATTTCTTTCTCCGGGCAGATTACGATATAACAATCTGTCGTATATTTACATTTTTTGAATTTAAGAGAAGAATATTTTTTTCTAGGGCTCGTCGTTATGTGGCCAGTACATCAGAAATCGCCTGAAACGTTCCGGAATATTCCAACGAAAGCTCGGATTGAAGCGAATGAGAAGTGTTCTGTCATCCACTAGTTCCACAGTTCTCACTGAAGTTTACCCTGAATTAATAGCCCTGGGAGTTGAACTGGAGAAGATGCACCCCAATCTGTTCACGAGAATCGGTAGACAAGTGGGATGTGGAGGATTTTCATCAGAGCAGACAGCCGCTGAGGCCCTTCATGATGTCTCCAGGGAAATCCTTAGGTCAGGGGAAATGACCTGGAGTAAAATAATTGCACTGTATGCAGTGGCAGGGGCTATCGCTGTGGATTGTGTTCGACAGGATCGACCGCAATTCATTCCTTCCATCCAGAGAGCCATGACGGAGGTCCTCGAAGAAGACTTGGCCACCTGGATTCAAGCCAATGGGGGATGGGTATGTTCATT